TTGAAATTCTTTCGAAATATATTCTTGCCCTTCGACATCACACCATGGGAAGTTTTTAAGATACAAATTCTTCATCCATGTATTGCGCATTTTGGTTCTTCGATGATTGCGCATATAATCGACAGGTCTGGCTTGGTCATCGGGATTCCACGATCCTGACATGGCTTGATCTTCCTCATAACCGGTGGATAGGAACCACGAATATCTGGGTTTCCTTTCGCGAAGGCCGGTATACTTATTAAGAGAACAGGTTACTTTGTAACCACTAATCTTGAATAGATTATACTTAGTAGCCATCTGTTCAATACGCATAAGCTGCTGGCCATCCTGTTTACCAGATCCAACCAGCTGCCAGAAATCGCCATCAAAGTTAAGAACATTGGCAGCATTTTTAACATCGAGATAGTCAGTTGCGGATGCACCACGTATATTTCCGACTTCAAAATCAAAACTACGTTGGAAGCGGGAAGTAAATTTGCATTGGGGCATACCTAATAACGACGACGGAAGCGGGTTACTCTCTTGAATCGGGTTCTAAGGATAGGTCGCCGATAGGTGGGTCTGCGGAAGACACGAGTTCTTCGGTAAACACGCCTGCGGTAACCATACATTGCAACAGGTCACTTACTGGGAATCTGGAAGAAGCGTGAACGTCGTCGATGGCTATGGAGGCACCTTTCCAAATGATAAGTGCGGGGGCAGTTGGGTTCTTTATATAGTCAAGCAATTTCACAACTGGTTTTCCCAGTCGGTCACATGATACATTCAAGATAAGAGCAAAGCGATCTTCAATCGCACCAATAACATCGAAGGATTCTTTATCAGTACATAATGCGTCACGAAAGCTCAAGTTGGATGTAAATACATTAACTACAGCATTAAACCAGACTGAACCGCCTTTAACTTCTACTCTGGCTGGATACCGATCTGTGATCTTAAGAACGAGATCAGTGATTCGACCGAGAGTTTGGCATTCGTCGAACAGCGCAGTCTTCTCTCCAGAGTATCCATCAAACCATTTTCCTGCTCCTTTGACATAGGGTAGACCCAGTAGACTCCAGGCGAAGCGGGATTTGCCGCAACGGGGAGGCCCGCTAATAAAGATGTTGAATCTAACACCAACATGGGGTTTCTGTGTAAAATGAAGGAATGTTTGAAGGTTGCGGATATTTTGCATACCAGTTACTGGAAGTTCTTCAAGAGCTCCGTTAATTCCTCCAGGTCCAGTAGCAACCTCGATAAGCCTTGCGATTTTACCGACGCTACCCCCTTTAGACAATTCTTCTCCAGTAACGTCATCCCCAAACGGATCGAGGGGGTCAACCCGCGTATCTGACTTAGTGACATAAGCAACATTCTGTCCGTGTGTTCCTTTGCAGGTACTAATGGTGACTCCTCCGACGTCTTCAATGCCACGAATGATTTTGAGAATGCCGGGGAAACGTTTACGGGTCTGCATAATGACATAGCCTTGTATATGGATGAACTGGTTCGTTGTAGTTCTTTCCAGCTGTCCTCGTCCAAACTTAATCGCAAGCGCCTTGTCGGAACAGAGCCTGGTCCATATCCTCCCAAGAACAAGTCGTGCGTCGAGTTCTCTTTCGACGGAGGGGTATCCAACACAGCCATTATGGATTTCAGGACATCCGTCAGGGTGCGTCTTGCAGAAAAACCTCTTCGCGAAGATAGTAACAGCAAATCTAA